CGCGAGCGCCGAATTAAATTTCGCCGGGGCCGCGGATTGATCGCCGCGATATAAATGATAGAGCGGCCGCTATAAAATAATCAAGCGGCTCGCGTGAGAATGAGTTTAGTAGTTTATATATCTGATCAAAAAGTTTGGGAATTCTTCAAAGCTCATCCGCGATATCAGATTCCGCGAGACGTTCGACGTTTCGACGAACACAGAAAATGTAACTTTAAAATATCTCATACATGTATCCTCATGTATACAAAAAGGTTTGGTTGAATTAACCAAGTATCTGGTCGAATATGAACGATCCAGAAATTCCGATTGAAGTAACCCGAATTCTGTCTAAGTCGACCAAAAATCTTGTTACCTTTAATAGAATTCAGGTTATTTCAATCGGAATTTCTGGATCGTTCATATTCGACCAGATATTTCGTTAATTCAACCAAATCTTTTTTTCCGTGTACACTGAGAGAAAAAAATAGTTGGAATAACTATAATCTTTATATATTTTATAGTTCGTTTTGGCCTTAAACATATATTTACAGTTCATCTAAACATGAAGATATAGTAGAATGAACACAGATTTATAGTCACCATCTTATTATTCTATATATATGGTAAAGTACCTTTTGAATATAGTTACATGTACCTATATTTGCCAAATATTCCAATTGTATTGACTATATAAAATAGTTAATTTCTCTTACCATTCAATATTTGCTATCTTACTATATTTTTTATTTCAAATAATTATAATTCTTGGTAAAAATTTTACGGGTCAGTTATACTATACTTATATTGTAAATATTACAAATATTATGATAACATTTACTATAAAAATTATATTCCTAGCTATAATCTTTTTACTATGCCATTATAGTTCCAAATATCATACATTTTTCTCTCAGTATATAAATAGTAGTTGCAGTTTGACTGGTCTTTTTTATACTTCAATATTTCATTAATTCAGGCGGATATTGGACTTACCTTCAATCGCACAAAACATTTGAAGATCGTAAAACGTAGATATTTATAGATAAATTTAACACGTTGACTGTGTCACGAAGGTCATTGGACTTGTGATACTATCGCGCTTTATTAATAAAATATAACCCACTGCATGTGTAACAAACTAGATATATGATAGTAGCGAGCTAATGAAACTAGCTGACAGATGTATACATCGTGGATTGCATTTATTTGCCGTGTCTTTGATTATTCGGACTTTAGTTAAGTTTTGAAAATGTTTGAACAGAGTTTGGAAATCGGCGCAGCAGTCAACGTGCTAATTCATAATTGTAAAGGCAAATTACTTTCTTCCCATGAAATTGAGGAAGATCGCGAGTCGAAATTTTGATTTAGTGTTAATTATTTAATATTTGATTATCTCAATATTCTATATATCTGCATTTAATTTCAATAAGCGATTATGAAGCAACGTGACTTACTCAGCTACAGACAAAGTGTGTGAGATAAGCAAATATAAATTATTTGATATAGGTTTGATATGGACGAGTAAAATGGCACATCTTACTTTCTCATAATCTTTTTGTTCCTCTTCTTTCCGTTGGAGAATCGGCCCTGAAAAGGGCCGATTAAGAAAAAAGCTGTAAATAAAAAAGATGAGTTATTTGTCCAATAATGCTGCACACTTATTTATAAACACGAGACTTAAATCTGGATTCCGTGCAGAAATAAAATCAAGTAGAAACAAAAGAGGCATCGACAGATATAGACAAGACACGTCTGGTGCCATCTGTGAAGATGGCACCACATTTAAAAAAAAATCAATTTATTATCATAGTTCTGATCGCACCCCGATGAGTTCTAGAGTTCTAGATACATTTAGAAATAGTTCCGGTGAAATGAAATAAAAAAACTAATTTTGAAGTTTGGAGGTGCTAAGTTTACAAAATGAGATCAGAAAAATGACTAACTTTTTAACGGTTGCACCAAATGAATTTCATCATTAGAATTTTTTATAGAACTCTTGTGGTGCTATCCAGAACTCCAGTCGGAACGCCGGAATTATTAAAAAAATTATTAAAAAAAATGTTACCACCAGGTGCTTAGAAAAAAAATGATCTAATTTTTTTTAATTTTGCCAACAAAATTTTTTCTTGTATGTTATTTGTGTTTTAGTGCTAGTTCTGATAGTCTACTTTCTCTCCAAATTATTCTATCGATTGTCCTCCTAACTCTAAACGTTACAGTTGACAGAAATAATTTATAGCGTTTTGAATTTTCAGAATGATGAAGTTAGCCCTCCCGTGACCTTATAATGGTATGCTCGTTGCTGTGAGCATCCCGATGAGTTTTATCGATTATCTTCATGAATCTTTGAGCTAAAACCAATGAGAGAGAAGTTCTAGTCGTTCAAAGATTCGGTTTCGTGAAAATTTCTAAGTCCTGAAAGAGTAAAATTTTTTTTAATAATTCCGGCGTTCCGACTGAAGTTCTAGATAGTACCACAAGAGTTCTATAAAAAATTTTAATGATAAAATTCATTTGGTACAACCGTTAAAAAGTTACTATCATTTTTTTTATCTCATTTTGTGAACTTAGCACCTCCAAACTTCAAAATTAGTTTTTTACTTCATTTTGCCGGAACTATTTCTAAATTTTATCTAGAACTCTAAAACTCATCGGGGTGCGATCAGAACTATGATAATAAATTGATTTTTTTAAAAATGTGGTGCCATCTTCACAAACGTAGACAAGACGGGATTTGCGGCACAAGCAGCATTATTAGATAATTATATCTAATCTATAGATAATTATATCTAATTAAATCTAGCATTACGCGATAATTCTCATTAAATTTGAAGATCGATATTCATAATTGCAAATTGAACATAATCTTTGACTGAAAGCGCAATTAATTTCAAATTCGTGTTCACAAGTCGTTAATCATCTGTTTCGATCGATATTCCTAATATAGAATAAACATGAATTGATGAATAATAAGATTATATATATCATTATGAAAGATGTATGATTATTTATTAGATGATAACGAATATCGGCCTAAATTTCGACTCGGGTATTTCCTTATTCCCGGAGATTTTATTAAACGTGAGTTCAAATCATCTTACATAATAAATGACTCACCTGAAGATACACGAAGCGTCGTTACCATCATCCTGCACCCGTCGTCCCGACCCAGCATCCTGCTACAGGCTGCTCCGCCGTACTCCGGATAGTCACATGTGGCACTGACACTAACACTCGCGTAGACACGATTCCATCGGAGAACGTGTTAACTAACGCGGCGCCGACGCGATATTCCGATTAAATATTTCACCAGATTACAAAATATTTTAATCGCGCGACAGCAGTTGCCAATATCGCACCGATACACGTGGCGCGGTACGTGTGTTTTGCTCGTCGGCTCGGAACGTTATGACGCGCGAGCATACCAAAACAATGAAGGCAAGACAAGAAAGTCACGCCCCACCAATTGCGCGCATGTAATCTCTGTAGACGTGAAATCACAACAATCAACATCCCGCAAACTCCATTTTGAATTTAACGGTACACCGTCTGTTCACTAATGACTTGAATGTTTTGTTTTACTTCACCGGGTCCGAATTCAAATCTCCATTGGCACACAGCGTTATTGGACACAAAAGTGCTGCTTTTATCTTTGTAATCCTTTCCTCTCTTCACCGTTCTTTTGAGTATCCGAGTTCTATCGAAATGCCCGACGTCTGCAACAAACAATAATAAACGAATTATGACGAAGGAATGTCTGTTCGAGCAAACGTAGCGACATTTTTCAAGAGTGCTTTTTGTCTCGAGACATACAAGAGCACATTACGTTTCATGTTTAACTCCCATTTCTTACATCAAACGTTAAAAATATTACAACGTCCTAGCGTGACTAATTGTAAATACTATAGAGCTGATAATATAAAATTAAATTCTTGCATGACTAGAAACGTTTAATAATTTTTTCATGTGCCTTTTAGCAGGCGCGCGAGATTGATAAAAATAGAATTAGTGTGATCTCAAGTCGATTCACAACCGGCTCCTGTCAATTTTCGATATACACGATTGTTTCAACAATCAGAATGTAGCACTGCTACAGATTATAAAAATGCACTCTCGTACAAGTGCCTTTTAACTTTCAGTTCGCGCGACTATGTCACTTTTGCGACCCGGCAAGTGATACTGACAATCCACGCAAAGAGAGACCAGCTCCACCGAGCGGGGCGGGGCGGAGCGGAGGGAGCGGCTGACTCGTAATACCAGCTAGCAGATCGGACTTTGCAACCGGCTAATTAAGCATTGATAACTAACGAGGTTCCTTTGTGGCGCGCGTTCGCTCGGACGAAAGTCACCGGAAAATTTCAGCCGACACATCGGGATTAAATGCTTTAGCGCGGCCCCGCGTCGAACCGGAGGTCGGGAGTTCGCGAACTCGGACGCGAACTGCGACTTTAATCCTCGCTGACGCGAATTGCTCGCGGCGTGACATCTGCGTTGGCGGCCGCGTTTTTATTTGTCTGTCTCTTTCTCTCTCTCTATCTCTCTCTCTCTCTCTCTCTCTCTCTCTCTCTCTCTCTCTCTCTTCCTTTGTCTCTTTTCTTTTCGTTCATTCTCCTACCAAGAAGAAGAGAATCGCTCGCGACATCAGAAGAGGCGGAATCGATCGCTTTCCGTTGCATTCCGGTCTTGCTTCCTGCCTCATCACGCAGGAACGATGATTAATTTAACGTCCTGCTATGAGTCCCGTTCACCCTTTGAGCTCGCGGCTTAGCGATTGTTTGATTTTGTTCCGCGGATGGTTGGGAGAGCTTGTGCGCGCACCTACACACATAGGTTATAATGCCGTAAGCGTTTTTCGGCTTTTCTCTTTTCTCTTTTTCTCTCGTCCCTTTTTTTCCTTTGTCCCTTTTTTTCCTTTACGTACAACGCGCGCCCGTTAATTGGTGATGCGCCACCGCACCAAAGAGATCACCGGGGTCGAATACCCTCTAACCACTCCGTGTCCCGATCTTCTGTTACAGTTTTACCAGCTCCTGGAAGCCAGTCAGGTGGCCAATACCACGCTCACGTATCGCCACGTGACCGTATTTGCGCCCACTAATCGAGCGTTCCAGAAGTACAACGGAAGCACGAAGAACTTGGTTCTCTATCATATGTGTGAGTACGAATGAACTCTTTTATCTCAAATATGTGTGCGTGCGTGTGTGTTGGTACAGAGAGAAAACAGCGACTTTAAGGACAGAGAGAGAGAACTTTTTTGGGAAATATTACATGTGCATATTGAAAGAATATTCCCGAATCGAAATTTTGATGCTACTTTGACGCTCTTAAGAATAGTTTGCGCCTACTTAGACGGTTTATAGCCTAGGTAAAACCTACTTTGACGATATTGATACTCATTAACTTCTCTTTTGAACCTTTAACTCTCCTTGTCAACATTTTGATGCTACTTTGACGCTTTTAAAAATAGTTTGAGCCTACTTAGATAATCTATAACCTAGGCGAAATCTATTTTGACGATATTGACACTCATTTCCGAGTCGAAATTTTGATCCTATGTTGAACCTTGAATTCTACACCGCAGTAGGAATTAAGACAGCAAAGTAGGTTTAATTCTAATGATATAATTCACTCCTACTTTGACCTTGATGATACCTAAAATATATGGAACAAATAAAATGTATATTTTGTAAGCTATTTGACGTTTCTGTTTCGTTATTTATTAAATTTTTTAAATATTTCTATAAAATACATATATTTCATGTAGGAGCTAAAGCTTTAATAGAGAGCTTTTGCAACTGAACCTACTTTGCTTCTTAAGATCCTACTATTATACAACCTACTTTGACGCTAAAGAAAGCGAAAGCGAAAATTTCATCAGAGTCAAAATAGGAGTAAATTATATCATTAGAATTAAACCTACTTTGCTATTTTAGCTCCTATTGCGATGTAGAATTCAAGGTTCAACATAGGGTCAAAATTTCGACTCAGGTTATGTTTTCTCGTGCAGTTATATTCATAATGTCCGAAACACTAAAAGGAAGTATGGAAAACTACCTCTGTATATACATAAAGCTTTCCTACCATCAGATTAAAAGGGCATTTGAATTAAAAAGGTGCTGGAAATAAGCTGCTAATTAATTGCTGTGATATAAAAATTTTGGCTGCAGCACAAATATATCCCGGTTATGCTATACAGTTTAATATATTATTCAGCGAAAATTCCCCCCGTGTTGTTAATATTGCACGCGGTATGCTGGTGTGGTAATGTATTTTTCATATGATCTCTGAAATGTTTATACAGAAAATTCTATTGGAAAAATTATTGTCTAGTAGAGTCTTGTTATCGAGGGACAGATTCTGCGTAAATTGACTGTCCTTTCCTTTCATATGTGCTATTTATATTTTAGGAACTGAAATGTGCCATTAAAAAAATTTGCTATGTTTCTGACAAAATCTACAAGACAAAGACCTTTCTGACAGTCAATAAGCTGGTGGCAGGAATACCTGCGCCACCAGAAATACAGTAAGATTGGAGAGAAGTTATAAAAAAGTAAATACTATGATGTTCTCTCCGTAACGACTTTGTCATTCAACGTGAGTCACCTCAAGATAAGTCGTCGTTGCCAAAAGTCCTAAAAATGGCGCGTCGTGAGACACGCAAATTTCACGGCGGAATCTAAAGCTGGAGATAAAGCGCAAACTTCCAAGAAAAATAGCCCGATAAGAGAGAGGAGTGCATTTCGCGATGTACGCGATATTTAAATCCGAATCACGGTGCATGGGCGACGCGCGTAAAATCGCCCGACAATCGGCAGGAAGACTTCGTTTCTCCCCGCTCTGTTGTGTATTGACGCGACGTTTTCCGGGGCGGAATGAAGCGGAGCGGGCCAACGCGACGGAATTCGCGATTCGCGACGATTCGATTTTCGCGAGAGTGTGCATATCTCTCTCCTTCTCTCCCTCTCCCCCTCTTCCTATCTGCCGCACGTCCGCATTATTTCCTGCCTCCCTTCCTCTTCTCGCGCCAGTTTTTCGCGCGGGAGTGCATTAACCAGCTCCGCCGTCAGGTTTCGGTATTTCACCCTTTGATCTCCACTGGATAGTTACGCGCGTGCATCCGTAATATATCCGCCGCGAGCTATAGAGCCACGCGGCCTAGAAGGTGCATTCGGTATGCGCCGGACGTTTACCGTGCTTTCCGCGTAATTCACGGGCTTCTTCGATGGCCGAGCCGAATGAACGGCCGCGGGTTCGCCGCGCAATCCGTTATCGACGTGTATCCGCGTTCACCGCCATTCGGCAGCGTCCGTTGGGTATTCATCGATGTAGATCCTGATAGAAAGGGACGGCCTGCGACGCGATGGGGCGGCTCGATGGAACGAGACGGCAGCAACGGCAGGAGGCCGAAGAGAGGCAGGAGGACGTTATTGCGATTGAGCGCAGCTGACTAATATCGCGCGGCGTCAGCGAACCAACGCGTCAGAATCCGCCGACGTTAATGCATCCTGTTGCACTTTATTGTGCGCCGGGCGGAAATTGAAGTGAATTCTGCGCGTTCTCGCGAAATTGTACTCGCGGCGTGGCACGGAGGCTGGCGGAGGAGGGAAGGTGGCCTTTTAACATTTGCATAATTCCGTCGACGCGGAAAGTACTTAACTGCACGGGTTCCGTGAATTTTTAAACGGTCAAATGAGAATTCCTCGCGACGAGATTGTCGAATGGATACGGAGAGCGAGCGAGCGAGCGAGCGAGCGGGCGGGAGAAAGATGCACGGTGAATGCGCGCAAAACTAGTAAATTAATTAAATCTTCCCGGACGCGCCGGTTCCGTGCGAGATGTACGAATTATTCGGGAACAATACTCGCGGAATCGCCGATTTTTCAACTGGGTGTTCCGCCCTTATCGTCCATTTGCCGCTGACAAAATATTTAGTCCTCTAAAAGCCATGTACAAGAGGATTCCGCTAAAATTGGGACTTTTGGAGATATGATCAGAACGTTATCAGTAATAAGAATTATTAATAATCAAGGCTTGATAATATCATCTTGTACGAATTAAGGTAACTAATTGGGATTGATCTGGTGACAGCGGACAAGTTTCTAATCGAGTCCGTGTACTTTAGACGGCTATGCGTGGAGCCGAGGCTCACAAGTACGGCATCGTCGCCTGGAGCCGTAAGAGGCGTATCGCGAGATCGTCGTTAATCAGTAGGGACGGCGCAAACAACTTGCTCAATCAAAATCCTTATTATCCCGAGCAAGGCCATAGTAAACGCGACAGGCCTCGTTAGGCGCACACCCTCGCTCGCTCATTCCGCTTTACTTCGTCGTTCTCCTCATCTTCGTCTTCGTCTTCACGCCCTCGCGTGCGTGGATGTTTGCGATGTCGCGCGGCGTGTAATTTCGGCGTGCAATGTTTGCGCTACCGCCTGTCATGGCGCAGCGCTCACACGGATAGTCGCATCGGCGCCGCGCCACGCCGCATCGTGTGGCGTGGCGCCATCGATCTCTCGAACGGAGACCCGACGGCAAACACACGGCCGCAAGCGTAGGTCACCGGCGCTTACGTTAAACTCGCGATAAGAAAGGGCCTCTCCTCTTCGACCGCAACCTGCCCTCCGCCAGGGAAATAATTAATCCGATTTGCGCGGGTAAGCCGCGCGTTTGGCCTCCCCTCCCCTCCCCTTCCCCGTCCACGGAGCGTTGCACCGGAAAACGAGAGTTTCATGGAGCAATTGGTTGGATATCATCTCGCATTGAGATTTCTTAATATTTTCCCGAATGTCATTTTTTTAAGTTAGATTCCAATCAGAATGCCTCAACTTTGTTCCAAAACATATTACCCTATTACGATAAAATTGAAAAAGAAGAAACTGCAATATTCTCTCCGTGCACAGCTGACAAATCGCGGTGGAACTTTCCGCAAAAAAAGATCCAACTATCAATAACCGCATGTTATCTTTGCAATAATTCTTTCGGTAGAGCTTCCCCTGAGCCGCGTTATCCTCGCAAGGGGACCTACCTACCGCAAAGAGTCGTACAAGAGTAACTCTGAAACTTGGCGTTTTCCATCGTCACCATAGGAACGTCGAAACTGGCTCTTCTCGGGTTGCCAATGGTATATTCTCGCGTACTTATTCTTTAAGTCCGCCTTTCCACGGCGGATATCGTCTCCAGTTACCCCGACGAATTACCTCGGAGACCACCGCGGAAACCGTCCGAACTAAATAATCAAAGGTCGTAAGGTCGTCGACTCCGTTGACACGAACGGCCTGGATCAATGTTATTCGGCCCGGGGCGTCTTTTTTTTCTGTGGGGAGCTAAGACGACGACGACGACGACGACGAGGGAAGGAGAGAAGGAAAGAGCGTCGTCGACGGTGACGTTCGACGGGTCGTTGCTACTTCCACCGCTCGTCGACTGTTCCTCGAACGCTTCGCCTTGTCCTTTTTTTGTCCTACGCCCGGCGACGTATTGGAGAGCAAACAGCTCGAACGAGATTACCGCGTGCAAAAGACTTTTTACGAGACGCGTCTTGAAAGAGATTGTCAAGAATTACATTATCCTCCCCCCTCGCGCTTTACCGTCTCTCCTCCTCCTCTCATCGCGTCCTCACTCTTCTGCGCACCCCCGCGCACCACCCGGCTGCTGCCGTGATGCGGGGTAAATAAAGGACGTCGACTCGCGCGATGCCCTCGAGAAAGCTCGAGGAATAGTTATGCTCGCGTAACGCTGCAAACTGCATCGATTTAGAGCTCAAAGCGTCAACTGAAATTATTTACTCGAGGTAATGAACGGGGGATAAGGGAGTAACTTCGCAGCGCGACACGCTCATTCTTACGCACCGTGATATATCGTGCACGACGCTCCCTCTTTCTATGTACACTTTGTGCACGCGAACGTACACACACACACACATGTATGAAATATCTTTAGACACTCGCGCGCCTGTACGCTACGTATCGTTAATTGCATCTGCATGCGCTCTCCGGACGTTTAAATCTCGGACGCCACCCCCGCGACGCTTGTATGCACAGCCGCCCTATATAACTCAGCCGATTTAAGCAAGTTCTCGCAGTAATCAACTCAGGCGGAATTATAGCGAATCACTTGCGCGCAGTTCGGTCGATCGTAACTTTGGACAAACGCGATTCA